ATTACACTGACATGGAACTGTGGGGTGGAGAGATGCTCCAAGGACCCCTGGTTTACTGGATATATTAGTATATCTCACCCCGTGTTGTGGGGACCCCCTTTCAGGTAAGGATGCTGCAGGAGCCTCTGGTGGCAAGTGGCCATATTTGGATTAGCATATGCATGAGGATCCTATATTTTGATATTATACATGTTGTTTTGTAGCTCACATGTATAGGATTGTAATTCATAGACCATTGATAGGTGTATGATTTGTATATTGGAATGGACTTAGCCTATGCTCATGCCTTTGGTCATCTCTTTTGTTGATGGGAGCCAAGGGAATGATCATAGTGTTTTGTAAGCTAAGTTCCATGAATTGTAATGAACATGATTTGTAATTGATGAGTACTTTAAATTTAATATATGTATGTTCATTAAGTATTGGATTGTTGAACTGGAAACTAAATTAGGTACCTTTTGTTTAAATTGGGAAATGTTGAGAAAACAAATACATCCTGTCCGGTTGACCAATTTTCATACCTAATGTGATGGAATTGGACTTTGATGTCTCTATGAAAGTTGTAGACATTTCTCTTAGCTTTCCGTAGAGACCAAAATGGTGTAATTTGAGTGAGTATAGCTCAAGTTATGAGTGAAAAAACATAGGTAGGTTAAATGACCTTGTTTTGGGTCACCCAGCCCTGTGGATGACGCCTGGGGCGCCAGATTCACGCTTGGGGTGCCAAATTACGAGATCAGACAGTAGCATCCACGCTTGGGGCGCCAGATCCACGCTCGGGGCGTCAACTTTCTGTTTTCCCACGCTCTGGGCGTGGATCTCACGCTACGGGCGCAGGGGTTCTGGAGGTTTCGCACCCTTTTCTTAGAAAATGCATAACTTTGGCTACGGTGCTCCGATTTGAGCGCGGTTTAAACCCACGTGTAGCTAATGAAAAGTAATATAACATAGTAGAAGATTGGAATAATAAAAGGAGTTTAGAATTAATTTGATAATTAAAGTGATGAAGACATTTAACGACGTATTGTCAAGTAGAATGAGAATATAATATTAAGTTTAGTCCCACTATTCCGCGAAGTATATATAGTTATGATCACACACTTGGTTATTTGAATCCGGCTTGTTTAAAAAGGAAAATTTATCCGGTTTTCTAATTGAACCATTGTGATTGTAACTGCGCTTAATGCCGTACGCAATGATAACAATCTGGTTCTAGAACGGGGTGTTACATCATGCACTGATTACCGTCAGTTGAATAAGGTTACCATCAAGAACAAGTATCCTCTCCCTCGCATAGATGATTTTCTTGATCAGTTGAGGGGTGCTTGGGTCTTTTCAAAAATTGATTTGAGGTCGGGTTATCATCAGATCCGAATTAGGCAGGAAGATATTTCGAAGACTGCTTTCCGATCTAGATACGGACATTATGAGTACCAGGTAATTCCATTTGGACTCACTAATGCTTCGGCGGTGTTTATGGATTATATGAATCGCATTTTTAAACCATTTCTGGATCAATTCGTGATTGTGTTTATTGATGATATCCTGATATATTCCAAGAGTAAGGAAGAACATGCGAATCACTTGAGAACTGTGTTGCAAGTACTTAGAGAGAAACAGTTGTATGCAAAGCCTTCAAAATGTGAATTTTGGCTTTCTCAAGTGCAATTCTTGGGTCACGTCATTTCTGCTGATCGAGTGGCGGTTGATCCTAGTAAGATAGAGGCAGTTATTGATTGGGAGAGACCCAAGACTGTAACGGAAGTAAGGAGTTTTCTGGGTTTGGCCGGTTATTACCGGAGATTTATAAATGGATTTTTTGCAATGGTTTTGCCATTAACCAGTTTGACCCGAAAGGATACTCCATTTATTTGGACTCAGGAATGCGAAGAATGTTTCCAAAATCTTAAGGAAAAATTGACAACAGCTCCGGTGTTAGTACTTCCTAATCCGGAAGGTGAATTTGAGTTATACAGCGATGCTTCCAAAAAGGGATTGGGATGTGTGCTGATGCAAGATAGGCGGGTGGTAGCTTACGCATCGAGGCAATTGAAACCGCATGAAGAGAACTATCCGACCCACGACTTGGAACTTGCTGCAATTGTTTTTGGGCTGAAACAATGGAGACATTTCTTGTATGGAATGAAATTTGCAGTATTTAGTGACCACAAGAGTTTGAAATACTTGTTTGATCAAAATGAGTTGAATATGAGACAACGACGGTGGACTGAGTTCCTAAAGGACTACGACTTCGAATTGAAATACCATCCCGGCAAAGCTAATGTTGTAGCTGATGCATTGAGCTGGAAATCTGTGAGCGTAGCTAGCATGATGATGAGAGATTATGATGTGATTGAGAGGTTCAGAGACATGAAATTATCTAAAGTCTTTCCATGCAGAATTTGTGGCATCGAAATTACAAGAATCGAAAATGAAATGATGACCAGAATTAAAGAAGCTCAACTGCAAAATGAAAGTGCTAAACGACTGAAAGGTCAGAGTGGTGTATCCTGCAATGATGAGGGTATACTATTATATCAGGGTCGTATTGTCGTACCTAGACAGTTGGCAGAAGAAGTAATGACAGAGGCCCATAAGGGACAATTCACCATCCATCCGGGAGCTAAAAAGATGTATCAGGACCTAAAAATTAATTTCTGGTGGCCTGGTATGAAGAAAGATATTGCCGAATTTGTCTCTAAGTGTCTCGTATGTCAGAAGGTCAAGATTGAGCATCAAAAGCCTTCTAGTATGTTGCAACCTCTGGATGTTCCTGAATGGAAATGGGAGAGTATCTCCATGGATTTCGTAGTGGGTTTGCCGCGAACACAGGCTAGTTATGATTCTATATGGGTGATTGTGGATAGATTGAGAAAGTCCGCACACTTTTTGCCAGTACGGGTAGATTTCTCTGCTGAGAGATTGGCTAGGCTCTATGTGAAGGAGATTGTGAGGCTTCATGGGGTGCCTGAGAGCATTGTTAGTGATCGGGACCCGAAGTTCACTTCTCGCTTCTGGGGAGCATTGCAGGAGGCTCTTGGCACTCAGTTGAGACTGAGCACTGCCTATCATCCACAGACGGATGGTCAGACTGAGAGGACCATTCAGACGTTGGAGGATATGTTGAGAGCTTGCACCCTGGAGCAGGGTACTGCATGGGATCGATATCTCTCGCTGGTTGAGTTTTCCTATAACAATATTTTTCATGCTAGTCTGGGTATGGCTCCCTACGAGGCCTTGTATGGTCGCCAGTGTAGGACACCTACTTGCTGGTCAGAGGTTGGGGACACAGAGCGATTTGGATTGGATTTTGTTCAGGAAACCACTGAGCAAATTAAAATGATTAGAGATCGTCTGAAAAAGGCTCAAGAGATCGCCAGAAAAGTTATGATGATCTCAAGCATCGACCTCTAGAGTTTGAGGAGGGAGATCAAGTATTTTTAAAGTTGTCGCCGGTTACGGGTGTTGGACGAGCCCTTGGAGTGAGGAAGCTGAGTCCGAGATTTATTGGACCCTACCAGATTCTTCGTAGGGTAGGACCGGTTGCCTACCAGCTTGCCTTACCTCCTCAATTATCAAACTTGCACGATGTATTTCATGTTTCTCAGCTGAGGAGATATGTAGCTGATTCTTCTCATGTGGTGCAACCTGATGACGTTGAGATTCAGGAAAATTTGAAAACTCCCGTCGGGCCACTGAAAATACTCGAAAGAGATGAGAAGAGGCTGAGGAATAAATCCATTCCTATGGTGAAAGTCCAATGGGAAGGAAGGACGCCTGAAGAATCCACTTGGGAGCGGGAAGACGAGCTTCTCCGGCAATATCCTGAGTTTAAGGACAGGTATGTTCTTGATTTTGCGGACAAAATCGCAAAAAAGTGGGGTGACTATAATAGCCCTAACCTAATTAATTAGTAAATTAAATGTGATTGAATAATTAAGCATGTAATAGTGAGTAAAATTTAGTATAGGACCTAATTAAAGGAATTGGGGTCACTTTTGAGGTAAAAAGTGTACTCAGTAAACATTAAGGAGTATAAATGGGTGTAGACAAAAGTACCCAAAATATAAAAATAAAAGTGGAAATATTCCTAGAAAAACATTCCAGACATTTGGGTAAAGTTTGGTAATTAATGGAGTTAAATAGATAGATGAACTAATACCCACTTGATCCCACTTAACTTATGTTAAGTGACTATACAACACAAAAAAAGAACCCAAATCCCTTCCCCAACCCGTCGTGCGCCAGAAGAGAGAAAGAAAGGAAGGAAGAAAGAAGGAGAAGAGAAAGGAAAGGGGGAAACCCTAGGTTGAGCAAACCTTAGCCAAATTCATCCATTCCAAAGCCTAAACCACTCCAAATATTTCCCTCTTTCACAATCAAAGCTTGGTTTTGAGTGGGAGTCTTTGTGGAGTGAGATTTCAACCTCCAAAAATCTGAACCTTAGGAAAAAGTGAGGGATTTGTTGGCTTCTACCTCCATGGAAGCTTGAGGAACAACCATTCCTTGTTGTGTGATCCATTGTGGTGAGTTTTCCACTCTCTTTCACACAAATTCCTTGAGTTTTACATGATTTAGGTTTTGATGAATAGTGTTTTGAAGTTTTATGATAATGTAAGTTGATTGGCTATGTTCTAGGAGGATTGGGACTTAGTATATGTTATGAAAAATGCTAGGAATGACATTTAATCGGTGAAAATGAGCTTAGATAGTTATATGACTACACTTTGAAAATTGCAAGAATATGATACTTGATTGTGGGTTTTCCTGCCATTATGATCAATGGTTGGGTTGAATAATAAGTGTGTCCATGTGGTGTCTAGGATTGAGGCATTTGGACCAACCGTGAGTGATCAACCATTGGAGCAAGCTATGGAGCTTGATTAGCTCTTTGGAATAGGTAAGCTCATGTTAAGTTATAATGTAGAGTTATTGTGGTATTGATGGATATCTAAATATTCATGGGATTGCATGATTGATGCTGTGACACCTTGATGTAGGTGTGTACTTTACAAGTTATAGCTTGAAATCGAAGTTGACTGGTTGTAGAACCTGTTGGTGGAGAACAAAGGTTGAACTGAAGCTTTGAGGTAAGCCTTCGGACCTTGGGTGTAATTCCCTTGATTATTCCACCAAGCCCTGATTGAGTAGTGGTTGTGATAGTGTATATAAATGCAATGAAATAGTTTAATGCTTTGTTATACGTATGTGTATGCTTTGGTGTGACAGAGGATGGTGTTTCCCTATGTTGGTATGTTGCATGACGATGCGTAATTCATACTTGGTAGTTTAGCTGGCCAGTAGGACTATTTGCATCTGAGTATCCTTAGGACAGCTTGAGAGCTCGAGGGATTTCTCCTGGAGATGTTTGTTTACACACTGCATGGATATGTATTTATTGCATTATTATTGTTATTGCTATTACACTGTTATTGAACTATGGGGTGGAGAGATGCTCCAAGGACCCCTGGTTTACTGTGATATAATCGTATATCTCACCCCATGTTGTGGGGACCCCCTTTCAGGAAAGAATGCTGCAGGAGCCTGTGGTGGCAAGTGGCCATATTTGGATTATACATGACATGTAGTAATACTATATATAAGATTTACATTTGAAAGCTAATTGCTATATGTATGTCATGCTTTATTTTGGTGGACTTAGCCTATGCTCATCTCCTTTGGTATCTCTTTTGTTGATGGGAGCCAAGGAGTTGATCATAGTGTTTTGTAGCTAAGTCCCATGAATTGTAATTAAGACGTATTGTAATATTGTAATTAATGGAGATATATGTATGAGGAAATGTTATGCATGCTTCTCTTAGGGTATGAGTACTTTGAAAGACTAGAATTCATGTATTGAAAGAATTATATGATTGTCAATTAGGTGAAAGAAGACCTTTAGATTGAAAATCCAAGTAAAGGTAAAGATATTCCATCTTGTTGTCCAATTTTTGTATCCTATATGATAGATTTGGACCCTTGTGTCTTAATGGAAGTGGTAGATCTTTTTCTTAGCTTTCCATTGAGACCAAGATTTTGTAATTTGGATGTGTACAACTCTAGTTAGGGTTAAAACACTCAAGCTTGGTGTTGTCCCCAGAAATCTGGCGCTACTAGCGCCGTGTTGGCGCTAGCCGCGCCAAGGGACAGAGAGGGAACGTATTCCTGGCGCTAATCGCGCCAGTCTTCCGCTAACCGTGCCAAATACAGGGAAACACTCTGTTGTTTCACGCTAATTGCGCCATTTTCACGCTAATCGCGCCGGAAACAGTGGGTTCAACACTCGTTACGTAGAAAGTTCATAACTTGGGCTACGGTGCTCCGATTTGAGCGCGGTTTGAACCTACGCGTATATAACGAAGAGATATATAACATATTGGAAGGTGAGAACTATAAAGTAAGTATAGAAATTCCAATTTAATAGAAAGTGAAGAGATTCTAGTATTGAACTCGAACAAAATAATGATATGATGTTAAGTTTAGTTTTGATTATTCCGCAAAGTATAAGGTTATGGTCACGCAATTGGTTATTTCAAACTCGGAGTTGTTAAAAAGGAAAACAAGTAAGTTTTAAAAAGGAAAACGAAAAATTTCTCCGGGTTTTTAATTGAACCAATGTGATTGTAACTGCGCTTAATATCATAAAGCAATGTTAACAAACCGGTTCTAGAACGGGGTGTTACATTTGGGGAGGTGGTTTTGCCTTTTTAACTTTTTTGGGAAGGTAGATTTTGCCTCTTCTAGATCGGATTGATGGCTGAGTAAGTCACAGGTACATTGTCTTATGCTGCCAGACTATTGTAGTAGACTCTCTAAAAGCGAAGCGCATTGACCGAGTAGCTCCTATCTGAGTTGATAATCATTTTTATTAGGTTCTCCAAATTCATCTTCATTTGGGATTGGGGTACAATCCTTTAATCAGGATCACGATGGCTCCAAATCTGTCTTCATCTCGAACTGTGGTGCAGTCCTTTTATCAGGATCATGATGGCTCAAAATCCATCTTCATCTTAAATTAGGGTGCAATCCTTTCATCAGGATCATCAAAACATATCTTGTTTCTACAGGAACCAAGACTCGCTCACTCTTTGTTGGTAACCCCATGAATAGTCGAAGAACCTTCTGCTTAAGAGAGAGTTCATAGTTTTAGGACTCACATCTTCTGCTTATACTAAAAGAGTACACTTATGTTTGAAATGCAAGTGTGATTTAAAAGTAATCTAGTCCTACATCAATTAAGAATGAGTTAAGAGAGGAAAATATAAGTGAAAAGACCCATAAACTTAATTCCTTAAGGTTTTGGGTTGAGATGTAATGTCAGACTCACTTATTTGTATGTTGGGTTCATTATTTAGTCCATTGTTAGTGGTCTCCCCTATTTAGGGCTCCTTTCAAATCTCCTAACAATTGGTATTAGAGCAATTGTTTGGCAGAAATATATATCTTCTTTACTAATGTCACATATAGGTAGGGGTGACAATTTTCAAAGCGACCAGCTGACACGACACGGAAAATTCGTGTTTGGGTCAACCAGTTTTCAAATTCATGTGCGATCGGGTTGACAAGAACTAACATGAAAAATTCGTGTTGTGTCGCTTGTCAACCTACGAACCCAAAATTGACCCGTATTAATTTTTTTATAGGTTATTCGTGTCTTATCGTGTTATGTCGACCCACATAATAAGTAATACAATATAGGGTTGACAAGTTATTCGTGTTGTGTCGTGCCAACTCACAAAATGAGTGGGTCGTGTTTGTGTCAAAGGTTTTAACCCGATTTATGTATAGAATGTTGAGTGTATTCATATTCATGTTGTGTCGTGTCAAGTTATGTCAACCCAAATTGCTACTTCTATGTATAGGTTTCTCAAATTTAATACGGGGCTCATATATTAAAAATGGGATTAGTGTTTCTCATGTTATAAGAGATAATTTTATCTCTTACACAGTGTCCATGTTTTCTTTTTCTCTCCCTTCTCTTCACATGAGACACTTTTATATGTATGTAGGAGATAAAATTATTTCTTATAACATGAGAAACATTAATCCCATTAAAAATTTAATAAGTTTACCAACAAGACTTAAAAGTGAAATATTAAGTAAGTTGCATTCTCAAAAGGAAATTGGAATAATGCAATTATTTAGAAAATTTTCTATTCACAAAAATGTTGGTAAAAATATCCTGATCAAAGAATTTTAAAATTTAATATGAAACTTTTATTAAAGACTATTTAATTATTTCCATTCTTGTATAAATTTGGAGAAGGAAAAGCTTCTCATAATTAATTTTCTAATAAGTATATTTTTTAATAAATTTATTTTTAATAATTTTATTCCCAAATCTTTTCTTTAATATAACTACTTAAGTAAGGATTTGGATCACTTGCAGTTCAAATGCAAACAGTGGCGGAGCTACGTATTAGCTGGGTGTAGTCTTGTCCGAGCTAAATTTTAACAAATTATACCTATCATGTATAATTATATAATTAATTATAATTTGGCCCAATCTAAAATTATAATTTAGCCCGGGCTAAAATTTATAATTTGGCCCTATCAAAAAATTAAAATATATTTGGTGGGAGATTTGAGTAAGTTGTATTAAGTTATGTGTTCCATTTCCATTTATATAAAAAAATTAAAATATATTCAATAAAATTTAAAAAAATATTTAGTAAAATTATAATTCTTTTTTATGCTTTTTGCTCAGGTGTTTTGTATTTAATATAATTTAAATATATTATGATATGAACTAATTAAAATTAAAAAAAATAAATACACATATAATTTTTTGGCCCGAACTCCGATTGGAGCCTGGCTCCGCCACTGACTGCAAATGTAATTAAACAGAGAAAAAAAAATCAAAACAGAGGAGGTGGATCTCCCAACTGATCCAAATCCAAGTAAGTATTAGATATAAGTAGGCTAAGTAGCTTGTGTATGTCCTGTCATCTTAAACCAAGTCATTCATGAAGTTGTGCACATAATCCGAAAGCATATACATATATCATTCACTGAATTCACTCAGATTGAAATCCGCGTAACAACTAGCTAGTAGTTATTGGAATTACAATGTCTATCATAATCAATACTCATCTTGCTTTTTGGTATTGATGACATTAGCTATAGCTAAAGTCAAACTTTTTTTTTCTCTCTCGTTACACCCCATGACGGAATTTGTTGAGGTTAGAACCCTGTTGATTACTTGTTTCACCCCCATCTACCTTTTTGTACACATAACCCTTAGCGATCCAAAGATACACACACAAATTTACAGCACTTAACAAAGCCAAAACCCAGTAAAAGTAATCAAGATGTGCTCTATTAAGGTTGTTTCCTAACCATTTCCCACCAGCTCTTGAAGTGATTGCCTCCAAAATAGCTATAATAGCATTACTAACAAAGCTTCCAACTCCTACTATGCTTATATATGCTGCAGCTCCCAAGCTTCTCAATGCCTCTGGCATTTGATCATAGAACAACTCTTGTAGCCCAACAATTGTGAATGAATCAGCAACCCCAATAATCATATACTGAGGAAGTAGCCACCAAACGCTCATTGGTAACACTGCTTTAGGATCATCTATTAGACCATGGTCTCTAGCAACACCAACCCTTTTGGCCTCAACAAGAGCTGACACAATCATGCTGAGTATGGACAAAAATAGACCAACCCCAATCCTCTGCAACACTGTTATACCAGTGTGGTGCCCTGTGAATCTTCTAGCTAGTGGCACAAAAACCCGGTCATAGATTGGAACAGCAAAAAGGATTGTGATTCCAACAAGGCCTTGAAGTGATGCTGGAGGGATTTGAAAGTGTGGTCCTATGGAACGGATCAATGTGCTACCTTGCTTAGTGAAATATGTGTGTACTTGAGCTTGAACAACAGTGAACATCAAACAGCTTAGCCATATTGGGATTAGGCGAATTACAAGCTTTGCTTCTTCAACTTGTGTCACTGTACATAGCCTCCAAGGATCTCTGATTTTTCTTGATGCATCAATCTCATCAATGATGATTGCCTTGTCCAGAAATCTATTACAATTTTTCATATTTTTTTTTTTTTATTTTGAAAGAAGAATTTCCCTTTAGTAATAATGTGGTAATAAAAAGTGTCATCTGAAGCAACAAAAAACACAGAAAAAGTCTAGACCCATGATAAATTGTTGGAATCAACTCCAACCATACCCAATCCACGTGGCCCATATTCTTTTGTATTTAAATTCTTTTACCTAATTTTCAATTCTTCATATTGAAATTAATAAAGTGACTTAATCATACAAATTTCTTAGTAGTATGCATACATTTTTTTTTTTTTTTGCTAAGTTGTTCCTTTTTTGTAAGTTTATTACACACATGTTTGTATACAAGAAATAGTAAATTTAAGATAATAAGTGTCGTATTTATACTATTTAACTAAGTGAAACACATGTATAAAACCCTCTAATTAACCTCCTTACTCTCTTATCAAGAACGTAATTGGATTTATTATATCTAACGTAATAATATATGTTAATTATATTGACACTCTCTACAATAAAAAAAAGGTTCAACTTAGTTGCCCACAAAAAAAAAATCAATGTCTTTATCTTCAAAAAAGGTACAGACTCATCCAAATTATGCATAGTTTTCCCAGCACAAATTCAACATCCTTTCCGCTTCTATTTATGAAGAGAAAATATGTTATTTGTTTCAAAATGGAAAGGACGTAAAGCACAGCTTTAAATTCACAAGAGAGAAAAATACCGAGAGTTATAGTATAATGAATGGCACACACCTACACTGATGAGTTTGTTGCAAAGTGTGGAATTTGGGTGGAACATGGAGACGATGGGGCTCATCATGATTTTCCTCATCATAGCAATAATTGTTATGACCGGGCGTGTCTTGCACGCGCCACTTACGAGCAGCAGCAACAAAAACTTGGGCCAGCCTAGTTAATGGGCTCCCTGCAGGGCTTTCCTTTCTATACCTTTTGATTCCCAACAAGAAGAGTGCCAATGCCAAAGCCAACACTGCTGCCAGCACTCCCAACCCCACTCCCCACCCTACATTGTCCTGTTCAATTTTTCCAATAATTCAATCTTCATCATCAATTACAATTATTCCATTGGCTCTTTATGAAAAGATGATCAAGGAAGAAGAATAAACTATGATCAAACTAATATATATATATATATATATATATATATGTAAAATTACTTTTAGAGCCGCTTTACGTACAACAATTATAGGTGTATAGTTATGATTCTCCGCATTTAATGTTTTCATGTATATATATGGCAAGTATTTGAGAAAACCTTTATAGCGACGAAATTGCTATAAAATTTTCGTTGCTAATTTCATCATCGCAACTATTTTTCATCGCAGATTCCCTCGCAAACGATGTTTGCGACGAAATTTGCAAGGAAAATCGAATTAGCTACGAATTTTGTGAGAGAAATTTTATTAAAATTCCGTCGCTACACAGATTTTTTCCAGTAGTAGCTGCAAAAATATAAACCCTATATATATATATATATATATATATATATATATATATATATATATATATATGAGAAAAATATTTCTACAGCCACTTTAGATAAGATTATTTACGGCTACCCTTTTTAACTAAGCATGACCGGTCATACATAGTTATAAGAATAAAACTGTTCTTTTTTTTTCTCTCCTCATACACTATCGGCTAATGTGACGGAGAGAGAAAATGCAATTTTTATGTATGACCGGTCATACTTAGTTTAAAAAGGGTAGCTGTAGACAACCTATCTAAAGTGGCTGTAGAAATATTTTTCATATATATATATATATATATATATATATATATATATATATATATATATATATATATATATATAACAAGCATAGGATCCTATGGTCCAGAGGTAATTATTAATAAGTTAAGCAATAATCATTTACGGCTCCTGCTTATTTGATCTTTACATAATTCATTCATAATTAATATAAATTTTATCATTCATACTTGAACTCCCAATTTTATATAGGTATTGATTATAAAATAAAATTATACATATTTTTTTAAGTTGTTATGTAATACTTAAATATTTAACTTTGGATACCCTGTTATTATAACATTGGTATATATTATTTATTAATCATATTTTATCAAATTATTGAAAATAATTATTTATTTTAATCATCACTTACTAATACATGATTAGATAATAATATAGACTCAATTTTTATCTAGAACCATTTATGTAAAATCTAAAAATCAACCCCCACTACTCACAGCTTTTACAATCAACCATTCCTTTCACTTAATGTGCCGACAGATTATGCATAGATGGAAAAGACTTGTATGAGGATTGAGGAATATGTTCCTATGTTGGACAAACTTGCTTCTCCAAAAAAGAAATGTGTGTGATCCATAAATTCTCCTTGGATGATAACATCCACTATAGCAATATTCTATCTCTTTTGGCGTTATACGACAATTTTTATTTATATATTGCTTCTCGCATTTGACGAGTCCTACCTACCTGGCAATACATAATTTTCTCCCATCTATTATCAAGTCCGTACGGACATGTGATAGTGTTTTATATTTTTTTTTTGGGTAAACAAATAGTGTTTTATTTTATATTTTAAAAGAAATTAGTATTTAATGTCAAGTTTGATAATGTATTTTAACTAGGTGGCAATTTTTCTATTAATTACTTTCATAAAGAATGAATAACAATTAACATCCAATTAGGATCATGTTTATTTTCCCCTACAAACAAATGTATAAATCTAGTAAGATGACAGAAATTAGCTTAATAAGAAGATCAACATAAACTTCAAAAAATAATTCAACAAATAGACAATAATAAAAAAGCAAGAAGAGAATTTTAAGTAAAATGTCAAAAAATTATTCTAAATTAATTTGTTTTAATAATATCTAATAATGTCTACTAATCCAAGTAATCGATCTAACATCTATATCTTGATTAAAAGTGTAAAAGTATTCATCTGAATTGGTTTGAACTACCAAAAAAAAAAAAAAAACAAACAAACAAACAAAGAATTGGTTTGAAAACTATATACAACTTGACTAATGGTGCTTTAAAATCAAAATAGTTAAGATATGCAAGTGTTATCAGGTATGAGTAAAGAAACGAATCATAAACAATCATATTAACAATTAAGTAAATCTCACTTTCTTATACAAAAAAAATAAAAGTAAATCTCACTTTCTTATACAAAAAAAATAAAAGTAAATCTCACTTTCTTATACAAAAAAAAAAAGTAAATCTCACTTTTGTTGTTCGAAACTTTTTATTATAATAGTTAACAAGTATCTTGAACGAATATTTTAATTCAAGTAAAATACTAATTAAAAGAAAAAAAGTATTCAAAATTATAAAGAGGATATGTATAATTAAATAAAAAAACATATATTACAAGTGGAATAGTATTTAAAATCAAAAAAATATTTATAATTACTTTAAGGGAATAACATCTGTCATTTTAAAGGATATAAGTTTATATCCTTTTAGATCCTAACCGTTAATTTCCGTCCATCAACGGTTATAATTTATTGGATCAAAATTATTAATTAATTAATAATAATTTTGGCCATTAAGTTTGACCCAATAGATTATAACCGTTAATGGACGGAAATCAACGGTTAGAATCTAAAATGATATAAGCTTATATCCTTTAAAAGAATAGATCATTTTCCCTTATTTTAAACATTATAATGTTGTAAGATGACCAAAAATCATTATTTCATTACTATTTTGGTGTTATTAATCTTTTAATAACAAAATTAAATGTACACTCTTAAGAATTTGATTAATTTACCTGAAGATATATCACTACAAATACAGCAGCAGTAGAACCAGCCACAATCCCCAAGTACCACCAATTGAAGAATGAACTCTTGGCATCCTTCTCCTCCGGCGTGTCGTCGTCGAATTGATCGGCGGCGAAGGTTTGAACGCATGGCTTGTGGCCTCCGTCGCCGATGGATAGCACGTAAAGGGCCACGAAGAAAAGCGTTTTGTGCTTAAGTGCCGACACAGATAGTGTCAAGAAAATCATGCCCTGTGCGTTTTTATGTGACGTGAGAATATAAGATTCTTTTACATCAACAACAGCTAAATTTATGTCATTAAATTAATTGCAAGTGCATGCATGGGGCTGACTTGTATATATAATATGGACAAACACAGTTAATATGCAAATCTTATGATGGAATATTGGAATCTTATGAGATGGCTCAAGCTCGTGGAAAGTGCTAATAATAAGAAATTCTTCACATAACAATTAATCTAATTGATCTCTCAACAACTATATAAAATTTACAATAATAATAAGAAGAAAAAACTAATAATTGATTTGAATTGAAATCACGGATTTTTTGACAGGTGGGGTGATGATCAATGTTTCTTAATTAGAGTTTGATTTGACGTTACATGTGAGTTACTTGTAGTTCGAGTTAAAAATAAAAATAAATAAATAAATAAACTTTCACCTACATCAGGATCAAGCATCTCCCCAATTTAAATTTATAATCTAAATCCTGGCTTTTTATAAACCCCGGGCGTTTTTTAGTTAAATTAATCTACATGTTGCTATAATTTTCAAAAAAATAAATTAAAAAAATAAATGGGTTTTTGCAATTTTAAAATTATAAATGAATCTCTATCATTGAAACAAAATCAATTAAATCCATGTCAGAATGAAAAAAAAAATCAATTAAATCCATGTCAGAATTTAAGAATAGATTGTTTAGGGATTATAAGGAATTACTGATTAACTTTGAGGGATTTTTGATTCCGTATAAAATTAAAAAAATTTACTCCTCATTTCATTTATTTATTTTTTTCAATCTAATTATTATTATTTATTTAAAATTAATAATTACTTAATTAGTATAATTTAATAAACTATAATAGTTAGATGGACAAAAATTGATAAATGAGATAAAAAAAATGATTTTTTAATCTTACACTGAAATAAAGCCATCCCCCTCTAACTTTTATTTTTAATATATAATCTACCTTTATGAATCTTTATCCAAAAAAATCAACAAAACAAAAGACGCTATGACGTTAGCGGAACAAAAATGAGAGTTTGACATATTGTATAAATTCAAATAACTATAATTTGCATTTATCATAGGAAAATACATCTATTATATAACAAATAGACATGGGATCCACAATTTTTTATTTTCTCTTTCCTCAACTCATTTTCTCTCTTTTCTTTTATGTTTGTGTAGGATCAAATAGTGTTTTTTATATAACATTATATAAGTATAACCCTTTATCATATCAACCCTCTTTTATTTAAACAAAAATCCTATATTTATAAAAGGTAATCCTTATAAATTTGTTGAATGAACTATTGATTATGATTAAAATTATAAAACTACTTTTTCACAGTCAAATATCCTTATCCATAATTAGCCTTATTTTTAAAATTAAAGTGACATTTAAAGTGATATTTTTTATGAGTTTAATATTTTTCATATTATAAAAAATAAAATTATCTTTTATATAGAAAAAAGATCTGTTTACAATTTTTTTTACAAAGTTATGCAAATTGCACTATGTTCTCCCGGAAGAAAATAATGTGATTACTGTTCTTCCGAAAGAAAATAGTGTAGTTTGTACGAGTTTGTAAACAAAAAAATTTGTAAATATAAACTGTTCCATATATATATATATATATATATATATATATATATATATATATATAGTAAACATTTCTGCAGTCACTTTAGATAAGGTTATCTACAGCCACTATTTTTAACTATGTTCTCCCGGGAGAACATAGTTATAATAGTAAAGTTGCTTTTTTTTTTCTCTCCTCAGTTACTTTTCAGAACCTATTTGTCGACGTGGAGAGAGAAAAAAACAACAACTTTAATATTATAACTATGTTCTCCCGAGAGAACATAGTTATAGTCATGGTAATTAAAATCTGGATTTAAATCTTAAAATCCCGATTTTAACGATTTATTTTTGGCAAAACGATTTAGATTTCACTTAAAATCGTTTTCAATATAAAATTCCGATTTAGACATTTACTTAAGTCTCGATTTTAAGGTTTAAATCCTGATTTTAACTATTGAAATAATGTTAAGCAAGTTAAAAAAATTGTTGAATATAACATTGTTGATGTTTCATCCGAAGATGAATGGATTGTGAAAAATGAAGGAACTTTATCTCATGTTGAAAGTTTAGATGAAGACAATTTTGAATGATGTAGTTGAAGATCACGTGGAACAGAATGTTTTCGATGATAATAACTTGAATGATTTATTAGTTTAGACCCTTAGCGTATGACAATTGTATGCAAATGTATAAGGATGGTGGCAGGTAATCTATTTTTCTTAATTTTTTTTTATACATAAGCATATGTATATAAAAATTTAATTTTAGAGTGCAGATAAAATTTACGATTTGTATTACGATTTTACGATTTACGATTTTTTATTTCTTTTTCGATTTTAGGTAAAATCTCAATTTTGATTACCTTGATTATAGTTAAAAATGGTGGCGGTAGATAACCTTATCTAAAATGGCTGTAGAAATACTTTCTATATATGTGTATATATATATATATATATATATATATATATATATATATATATATATATATATGGGTAAATATTTCTACAGCCACTTTAGATAATTATGTTCTCCCGGGAGGATATAGTTATAACATTAAAGTTGCTTTTTTTTCTCTCTCTTCATTTATTTTTCACAACCTATCTGCTGACGTGAAGAGAGAGAAAAAAAAAACAACTTTAGTATTATAACTATGTTCTCTCGGAAGAACATAATTATAAAAGAGTTGTTGTATATAAGCTTATCTAAAGTGGCCGTAGAAATATTTGTTTTCTTTTATATATATATATATATATAGATATATAGATAAAATATCTCCCGGAACTTAAGAAAATATCACACTCATTTACTGTTGTTCCTTGCCGTGTGGGAACATAGTTATATAAAAGAAAAAAAATTCGAAAAAGACAAAATTGTGGCATCATACAGATTTACAGAGATGCGAGACGGTGAGCACATTAGATTAGATTCCAGCAGAAATAAAGAACGAATGACTCAATTTTGAAAGAAAAAAAAAGAAAAAAATAAAAAAAGGAAAAAACGATTGAGAGAGACGGTACCAAATGAAACTTTATAAATAATAATAATAATAATAATAAGGATGAGGATGAGATTTATTTACCAAGAGATAAACGAGGGAAGACAAGAGTATGGTGTTGAAGCGACCCAGATAGGAATCAGCAATGAAGCCACCAAGCAAAGGAAAGAGAGAAGAAACACCAACCCATGTGTTGACATTTTTTGCAGCTGTTGTGATTGGTTCATTCAGAACATTTGTGAGATATGTGATGAGATTCCCAGCCAACCCCTGATATGCAAATCTCTCTGCAAATTCCACAACTACAGAGGAAGAAAAGAAAAAAAGATGACACCAAGATATGATTCCTGAACAAGAACCTTAAATAGGATTTGTGTGTGTCCCCAAATCAAACTAGTGAAAAGAGAGAGAGAGAAAGAAGAAATGGGTGTTTGACTAAATGGAGGGTTGAGTTGAGCTCACATATGATGAAGATGGCAGCATGCCAACCACCCTTTGGGGTTGTGGTGTGGTGGATGAGGGAGTTGCTTTTGTTGTTGCTGTTGCTGCTGCTATCTGCCATGACTAATTGGTTGTGCAGCTAGGAGGATTTGAAAATTTTGAGTCAATGTTGTGGTGAATTAATCAAGTTTGAAGAAGCTCCATAGGGGGATTTGGTGCTTATATAGGCACAATTCTGAGACTAGCATGTTTTGATTGTGGATGTGAGTGAACCAGCGCTCAAAATTGGGGCAGGAAATTTAGAATGTAAATATCAGTGTACTTTTTGACCCAAATGGGTATGAATTAAAGCGTTAATATTTGTCGTATTATCTTATCTCACGCGCATATAAAAATATATAAGATTTATATATTTATATGAAAAAAAGAGAAAGCATGAACTTATATATTTTTATGTATATATAAGAGATAAATTTATTTTTTATAATATGAGAAATAATAAAAACTCTAAATTAATATAGGATCAGTTATTCTATCTATTTATTTCCTATCCATCTTTATCTTTCGCTCTCCAATATCATTAGATTTAAATCTCATCTATTTTTATCATTTCTCTCTTCTATTGAAATTATGATCTAATGATATTGAAGACCGATTAGAAAAAAAAAGAAAAAAAAGTAAAACAACCTATTTCAATTAAAATATACATATTTCTGTTTACCAAAAAAGTTATATATTTTATGATGTGAAGTAAAACAGGTTAGTAATTAATAAAAATAAAAAAAGTTGACAATTTACATGTTTTTATTAGATGTACTTTTTTTTTGTCTGATTTTCTTTTAATTTTCAAAAAAATTATATTTTAATAATTAAAACTATATGTACTTATTTTTTTTTTGAATATCTTTCATCATAATAAATTTATGCAAATGAAATAAAGATATTTCTGCAAATGGGCAAATGGTGTATGACTATTGTAAATTTAATTTCTTTAAATTTTTGTTATACATTTTACATTATTCATGCAAATTTCTTTTACAAATAATTTTTTTTTTATATTTACACTTTTATGATGAAATTGATCTTCTCATATAATATGAGATCATATGAGAGGATCTTAATCATTTAAATATAAATTAACCATAATCTTTTCTACATTATTTATTATTATTCTTAATATAAAGAATTAATTCAACCCAAAAGCTTAAGCTAGTAGATGAGATTATATTAATGATTTTATATATCTCTAACACGCCCCCTCACAAGAGAGCTTATTGAGCTTGAAAGGTGGATGATGCATCAGGTGCATGAGTCCAGCCTACCTGTGCTAAGAAATTCCACAAAGAAAATGAGGGACGGTGAGGATCGAACCCGGGATACTGAGGCTCTGATATCATGTAAATAATCAATTCAACCCACAAGCTTAAGCTATTGGGTGAGAACATCTTTAATGATTTATATTATACTCAAACATATTTATATGATTGATATTATCTTACATGACCTCATATCACATAATAAGATTCATTCTGGATTCAAAAGCTCAAGTATTTGATGACTCTAAGTATCTATTTGGGAGGTCTTTTTTTAACTTCTTTTCTCTTTATAAGTAGAAGTTAGGTCAGACATGTTTTTACCAAAGCTCTTATAATAAAAAAGTTTTTTTTTTTATAATGAAGAAAAGTGCCAAAAGTCAACAACTCCTAGAAGGAGCTTTTTTTAAGTTGTCAGCTTTTTTTGAAATGTGTGATTTTTTTTAAATGAACAGCTTTTAAGCTAAAATTTTTATATAATCATTAAACAAGTTGTAGCTTTATTTTTAAAACTTTTTTTTAGCTTAAAAAAAGATGTGCCAATTAGGCTCTAAAAGCAAACGTTAGTTCTGCGATTTATAGGGGGAAAAAGGGAAATGGCATTGTTTTATTGGAAAAAACATGGAAGGACGTCTGTTTAGCAATTTATGGGGGGAAATGTTAATTATGTGTTTCTATGAAAACAAATTCATTTCGTAAAAACACTCATTACGAAAGGAGTGTTGATCAGAATTGTGAAAAGAACGTTTACGTTGAAATAAACCTATGAGAAGAATGTTTACAATGAAATCCTCTCCATGTTGGATTTATGTTCTTTTACCAAAGTCCAATTGGGCTCTTGTATGAGCAGAGCCCAAAAAGCTTAAGGATAAGATTTCTTAGTGCCCATATAAATAGTCTTACTTTAGACATTAGCCTTCAAGGCTATTGTTGACAGATCTGAAACTGAAACACCAAAGTGCCCACTCACTCACATATTTCCCTTGGGAATAGTCTGGAAGATACCACTATCCTCCACAAGCCATCTCGGAGACTTGTTCGCGCTGTGATGCAGAGGGGGCCATATCGTGAAGGAGGTATTTTCATGTTGTGACATGGAGAAAGCTTGATCGTGAAGGAGAGATTACATGGCAATAGAGGCGAGATGGATCACCACACCTACACAAGGGAGATTTCTCATTCGTCTGCGCTACAAGAGGTAATGATTTGTGTATCAAAGAATTATATTTATAACACACCAAACCACAACAGTCTATACGCTTTTGCAAATCCAATTACGCCAACAATTGGTATCAGAGTCGAATTGTGTATTTAGGTGAGAATCGAGTTCTTTGGGTTTTTCATGTAATTAGTTTGTATTATGAAATATGACACCTTGGATTCTATATTTGTTTTTCATGTGATTTGTATGTGTATCTTTTATAATTCTTTTCATAAAAATTGATGCTTTTATTTTGGTTTTTGGCTATCTTTAATCTATGGTAGATATTTCTATGTTTTCTTTTTGGATTGTAACAAGGGGGCTAATCCTTTATAATTAGATTTCTTCCTTGATTTTTATTTCAATTTTTTTTTTATATTTTTCAATATCTTGTAAAATTATAATGAGAAGATGATCGAAAAGAAGTCAAAACAAGGATATCCAAAGCCATTTTGACATGTTCGTGATCGATCAGTGACTGATAGAAGAAACCAAATACATGGTGTGAAATAGGATGGAAAGAAGATGAAGATGGAGGCTAGAGCTTCCCTAGAAAGTGTTCCACATGCCTACACGTGCTGCCTGAAGTGGCTGCACATGGTCTTCTCTCGTCAGTGCAAATCTGACTCGTGAAGGCATGTCTGAAGGCTTTGGGGGCGACTTTGGTGTTGGCATGTCCTTCTCCTCTTGGCAATTGTAACACCCCGTTCTAGAACCGGTTTGTTAACATTGCTTTATGATATTAAGCGCAGTTACAATCACATTGGTTCAATTAAAAACCCGGAGAAATTTTTCGTTTTCCTTTTTAAAACTTACTTGTTTTTCCTTTTTAACAACGCCGAGTTTGAAATAACCAATTGCGTGACCATAACCTTATACTTTGTGGAATAATCAAAACTAAACTTAACATCATATCATTATTTTGTTCGAGTTCAATACTAGACTCTCTTCACTTTCTATTAAATTGGAATTTATATACTTACTTTATAGTTCTCATCTTCCAATATGTTATATATCTCTTCGTTATCTACGCGTAGGTTCAAACCGCGCTCAAATCGGAGCACCGTAGCCCAAGTTATGAACTTTCTACGTAACGAGTGCTGAACCCACTGTTTCCGGCGCGATTAGCGTGAAAACGACGCGATTAGCGTGAAACAACAGAGTGTTTCCCTGTATTTGGCGCGGTTAGCGCCAGACTGGCGCGATTAGGGCCGGGAATATGTTCCCTCTCTGTCTCTTGGCGCGGCTAGCGCCAACACGGCGCTAGTAGCGCCAGATTTCTGGGGACAACACCAAGCTTGAGTGTTTTAACCCTAACTATAGTTGTACACATCCAAATTACACAATCTTGGTCTCAATGGAAAGCTAAGAAAAAGATCTACCACTTCCATTAAGACACAAGGGTCCAAATCTATCATATAGGATACGAAAATTGGACAACAAGAGGGATATCTTTACTTTTACTTGGATTTTCAATCTAAAGGTCTTCTTTCACCTAATTGACAATCATATAATTCTTTCAATACATGAATTCTAGTATTTCAAAGTACTCATACCCTAAGAGAAGCATGCATAACATTTCCTCATACATATATCTCCATTAATTACAATATTACAATACGTCTTAATTACAATTCATGGGACTTAGCTACAAAACACTATGATCAACTCCTTGGCTCCCATCAACAAAAGAGATACCAAAGGAGATGAGCATAGGCTAAGTCCACCCAAATAAAACATGACATACATATAGCAATTAGCTTTCAAATGTAAATCCTATACATAGTATTACTACATGTCATGTATAATCCAAATATGGCTACTTGCCACCAGAGGCTCCTACAGCATCCTTTCCTGAAAGGGGGTCCCCACAACACGGGGTGAGATATACGAATATATCACAGTAAACCAGGGGTCCTTGGAGCATCTCTCCACCCCATAGTTCAATAACAGTGTAATAACAATAACAATAATAATGCAGTAAATACATATCCATGCAGTGTGTAAACAAACATCTCCAAGAGAAATCCCTCGAGCTCTCAAGCTGTCCTAAGGATACTCAGATGCAAATAGTCCTACTGGCCAGCTAAACTACCAAGTATAGTTTATGCATCGCCATGCAACATACCAACATAGGGAAACACCATCCTATGCCACACCAAATGCATACACATACGTATAACAAAGCATTAAACTATTTCATTGCATTTATATACATTATCACAACCACTACACAGGGCTTGGTGGAACAATCAAGGGAATTACACCCAAGGTCCGAAGGCTTACCTCAAAGCTTCAGTTCAACCTTTGTTCTCCACCAACAGGTTCTACAACCAGTCAACTTCAATTTCAAGCTATAACTTGTAAAGTACACACCTACATCAAGGTGTCACAGCATCAATCATGCAATCCTATGAATATTTAGATATCCATCAATACCACAACAACTCTACATTATAACTTAACATGAGCTTACTGATGCTCTCCGGCAAGTATACCGATCGCACAAGTAATATAGAAAGTAAGTAGAGTATCGTCTCCAGAGGGATTGTAAACCAAGTACTACAATAACCAGTCCCCTTAAGTTGGAAAACTCGATTTGTTGTTTGGAAAAATTGTGAATTGATTTTGAGTAATAATAAGAAATAAAAGTAAAGACT